ACTTTAAAATTGACTGCGGGTGACCGAGAGAGCCGAGTAGAACCGAGCCGAGCGAGCCGGATCCCTTGACAGCCATGCGAGCAAGTCTCGGTCGCATGGCGCGATAAGGACCCGCGCGCGCACGCTGTTGCTAGCCCGGGTCGGAGTCAATTTCAGACTCGGGAGAAAAGAGAGAAAGCCCGTTCGGGTCCCTTCCCCTAATGCCTTCAACCCGTTAACCCCCGGAAAGGCTTAGAAACGCTCGTAACTGAGAGTTTCTTCGCAAACGAGATGTTGAAGTTCACGATTTCCTTCCCTCCCTCCCTTCTCTTCCCCCCTTTTTTTCTCTCTCTCTTACGATATGAGACAAAAGTGTGAGAGACTTGAGCTTTAAGCGAATGTTAAAAGTATATATATATATATATCATTTGTTTGTTAAAGTTGTTTTTTGTTTTAATAGTTGAGAAAACTTATAAAGATTCATTCATTAATTTTCTTTCTCTATCTGTCTCTCTCTTTTCCAGGAAATTTAATTTATCAGAAATGATAAGTTGTAAATTATCCTAAATTATCTGTCTGGTATTATATTCTATGATATCTATGTTTTTGTTTTGTCTACTTTGCGCTTTAATAATCTTATTTTTGTTACAAGTAAGTGTTGTAACAATAACCATAGACATATAAGATAGACCCAGCGTCCATATACTTTTCTACAGTATGTGCTGGATTTCGCAGAATGCGATGCGAGAGACAAAAAAAACGGGGCAACTTATTCTTCTCTGCATCTTGACATTTATATTATGGAAAAAATAAAATAAGATATAAAAGTAAGGGTAATACTCAAGAATTCCATCTTTCTCGCCAATTTTGATGAAATTAAAGCAGAATATTTATTCCAGCCTTTTACATGTTCTCATGTCCCTCTATGCCATTAATATCATAGATTTTCTAATCTGAATAGTCATTCAACGTTACTTTTTTGCCAGATTCGTTCATTTCATACAAAAACGCGTCGAGCCTAATTCTTGAGTGTTACTAAAGTAGATTTACTGTCAAGATGCATAAAAAAGGATAAATTGCCTCTCGTACAGTTCTGTCAAACACAGGTATATATAGCTAATACTGGGTCTATCTTATATGTCTATGACAGTAACAGCCAGTAACAGCTTTGCTGGCGCTTTATCTTTCATATATATACATCTTTTTCATTCGTGCTCTTTGTAATTTGTCAGACTTATCATAAACCAATCTTGCATGCACGCAATAATGTTATCATTGTTAGTCTCAAAGCAAATAAGTGATTCCGAATAGTCAATAGTTAAATCAGTATCATTACCTGACAAAGCAAAGGATGCTTTATAAGATTTTTCAGCCAATGTGCCATAAAGAGTCTCCAAGGTGCCATAAAAATTTTAAAGAAGGTAAAAAAAGGCAAAAAAAATTTAGAAAGAAAAAGCGACTGAGACGCGAGATAAAAAATATTTCTAAAATCGTAAAAATTATATCAATTATATTATTTGTAATCAATAATATCATCATTGCAACTAAGCAACAAAATCATTTTTATAACAATAAAATAAAAAAAAATGTTTAGAATTTTACTTTTCATCTTATAAATGAATTTTTAGAACTTTGCTTTTTATTTTCGTGTTAGTTCTGGTATCTGGCCAGATATATGTTGAGCGCTGAAGCGTGTACACCTAATTAATGATGCTTCGAGAAATTTGGCTCGTTATTTAATGTACCATAAATGGAGAAAGATTAAAAAACGCTATGTGAAGCCCATTCTGCAACTGCGTACTAAGCGTACATAAGAAAAATATTTACTATGCTACGCAAGTAATAATTACTTATTTCAAGTATTTAAAAATTCATATAATCTCTAATCTGTAATAAATTTATCAAAAGTATGAAATTTATTTATAATATTCTGAATCCTGGTAAGCTTAATACTTCAAGATTATGAAATTAAAACAAATTTGATATGCTTAATATATATAAAGTCGCTTCTACGAAGTCAGAGGGTGTAACCAAGTAAGGAAGAAAAGGGATAAACAAAAATTTGTCTAAAACTTTTATAATAATATAGATGTGACAGTTTGCGGACGAGGTATGGATGTATGAATGAGTTAAGAATTTCATGTAACCAAGTTCCCTTCTTGACTGTAAATAAATACGCTGAAGTGTAATAAAATTCTATTCGCTTTTAAATTCATTTCTTCGAACAATTTTATAATATTCTTTAAAAACAAAAATAAATTCTTTAATTACAATTTTTATAAAATTTATAATAAGTATATTTCAAGATTATTACTAAGAAAATATTCTTTATTGAAGATAATTTCAAGATTATTTAAAAGGAAGAAAATAAATTGAATAATCACTTTTCTTATAGCAATAATATTTTTGTGTGTGTAATTGTAGTTATAAGAATTGACCATTGAACCGAATATAATCGAATTAATGTTGTAATATTCTCCTCATATTCGATGATTCTGTGATTGATCAATTCTTACAAGCAATTACAACTAATGCTTACGCAATTATATAGAATGAGCTTGACGGACATCTCTTCCTCAGATTTCACGAACGGTGTCGAGGAAGTTCCGAGCGTTACGTTCAGCTTCGTTTTATTTTGTTTCCCGGCTCTATCTAATATCCTCTACGATTCTTAAGCGGAAACGGCGGCACAGCGAGAGGGGAGAGAATCATTTCCGTGACGTTACTACACCTTGTTTCCTAAAGGCTGATGTTCTGCACGCGGAACAACACCTGTATATGTCGTGTTGCGACCGGTTAGGGTTGAATTAGAGTTACGTTACATTACGTTACATTACTTCGGCCAAACCTTACGAAACATTACAGTCGCCCGAAGTCATATGGCCTGGGCGTCATATGTTTACGCGCTCCGATTTCTGTAGCGGATCGTTCCACGGCCAGATGTTCCGTATGCGAGTGTGACGAGATAATTCTATAAACTCGACATTTGCCGTACTACAGAAAGTAAATTTGTACAATTATGATATTAGTGCACTGAGAAAAAAATATAGTTAATTTTAATAAATATTTAGTTCAATACTGCCAACTAAACATTTACTTACAGTAAGTAAATATTTGTTCAATAAAAAAAAATGATTGTTAAATCAAATTAACATTTCTTGTATCAAATAAATATATCTTTATATTTAATAAATATTTAATTAGCAGTTTTCAACTAAATATTTATTAAAATTGACTATATTTTTTTCAGTATGGTATGAAAAATTAAATTAAATTAATTTATATAAATTTTTAAAGTCTGAAATTTTTTAATGTCTTTATATAAATGTTGTCACGAATCGATCATAGAAGCGATAATAAAATTATAATTTTTTAATTCTTTTACGTTTTGAAATTGTTGACTGTATTTTAATTCTGGAAAAAGATTTTTAAATCTGTAAAAATAATTACGAAATTGGTGAATGAAAAAATTAATCACATTTCATTGATAAAACAAGATAAACTCTAGCATTTGCATCGAAAATAATAATATACACTAAAAAATATAGATATATTTAATATCATGAGGTTTAAACCATAATGTTAAATTCATACTCATATTTTTTATATACAATTATATTATATTATATGTAGTATAAGATACGAAATAATTGAATGAGCTTTCGGCATACATAAAAATAATATAATCTGTAGCATATTTTTCAAACTTTAATATAATAATCACGATTCACATGTGGATCAGTTACGATCCAGCGTTAAATTTTCGTTAAATAACATCGAAATAAAAAGCAAAATGTTTAAAGGCAGTTTCGTTTAAAGATCAGCAAGATCTTTAACTATCTTGACACGAAGGGCCAAGGGACAAGGTAGGTATACGTTGATCGCGATAGCAGGTCGGATCCATCTGCTATCGAGGGATAAAGGTGTCGGGGACGATATGACCGAGAAACCAAGTGACCCGGCGATATACACGCGAACGCCGGAGAGTTAACGGCGTTTGTCCGCACCTCCGTGTACTCCTCGTTGCCCGAGTCACCGGCGTCCTCCACGCCGCGCCGGAGCGAGGAACCGTTCCAGGACGGGGACTCGGTGTCTCGCCAAGTGCGCGAGAATCCGGGTTGCAATCGCGGTCGCGACGGAAAAACCAGACGACGGCGTATTCCATGCGAACACCAGCTGGAAACTGCACTTGTCGAGACGGCAGATGGAAGCCTGAACCTGAATCTCTTTCATTTCTATTGGATAAATCTGGCAGTAAGAATTTGAGAAATCAGTCCATCATATCTCTGTTTTATACGTTTCATAAATCAAAAGTTTGGAAATACTTTTAAATAGATGAAATTTTTGCACGAAAAAAACAATGATTTTGCTGTTTGTAAAAATTTAAGTAAATGTAGATCTGAAAATAACATTATTAAACCATTAAAATAACTATGTAGGAAAAAACTCAAGCATGAGTAATGCTGTAAAAAGTTTTAACATTTTCGCAACCTGCAGTTTAAATATCCAATGAAATTATTTTCATATCTGTAGTGAAATTTTTAGGCATGTTGTGATAGCAAAACTATCTTTTCGTGTTGGATTATATTTATTCAAATATCCAATAACAATGTTTTTTAACAATAATTCTTCAAATTCAATAAGTTACTAGGTCTAAAGAATTATTGTTAAAAAAAACATTTTTACACTTGAATAAGTAATTCCAAAATATGTCATTTAAAAAAAAAATGTTTCTAAATTTTGGCCTGGAATGTATGTTTAACAGGATAAATAAAATATAATTCCTAATAATCACACGAACACACACATACGCACAAAAAATATTTCTCTTTGATATTAAAAAAGAAAGAGGAGCAGATCGAATTTACCAAGCCTTGCACACAAGCTGGTGATGTATTTTTCGCAGCGACGAAGATAAAAATCGTGCTGATAAGTATTCATTACGGCGTCGAAGTGCGCCGTAGGTCGACTTGATTAATATCCATCAGGATATGAGTGCAGGACACGAGAGTTCAACTTACCAACAATCCGGTTTCCACGCTTGGCAGTAACGTTAGCCGACTGTCGTTCTGTAGGCCGTTTTCCGCGAGCGTTCCTTCGCGCAGTTGCCTGAAACAAGAATATCGATAAAGATGGTTAGTGTGTTTGTTTGATAAAAGTTAGATAATATCTTATTATTTAAAATGTACGCTAAAGCTGTTTATCGTAGAATTATTATACCATAGAGCTTTAGGAAAGATACTTGTCTAAGAATCATTGACAATTATCACATAAATAGATTGAATCTTTAACGACATGCTAGATGAATAGAATTTAATAATGCATTAGAAGCAATAGATATACTTTCCTTTAGAGGTTATTTTCTCTTTGGAAAAATATTAAATTCAATCTATCAATCAATCTATAATTTATATATATATAGATATTAATATTTCAACTTCAGTTTATGTTTACGTTTCAAATCTGCAGTTTATGAAATTGAAAAATATATTTGCATATGAATATTATTAAATTTCGATCAAAATTACATTCAGAGAAAGGTTTCTTCGATTCAAAGAAATGTTTCTTTGCTATACGATTAAAGAAAAAATTTCTTTGATTTAAACATTTTTTAATTGAAGAAATCCCTTTCTCTAGGGATAGAATTATTTCTTTTGATTTATTATTGATCTGATTTCCACTTATAATTAAAAATACTAGCTTCCGATTCTTCAAAACGTATAAAATGAAGAGCTGTCTATATATTAATAAAATTTCCATGTATATAATAACATTATTCATAGTTAATCGCTAGTGATCAAAGTTTGCTTTTACGCAAGTTGTTCAAAGCCAGTTTTAAAAGGCTCCGTAGAATTTATTTAAGAAACTGGTTTCATTATACTCACTGCAATATAACGAAAGCATTCGTTCCGTAAAATCGTTACGGTTCTCTCACGAAAGAGTTTCTCATCGCATCTGTGAACCATTCTTAGAAGAGAGGCCGAAACTCACAATATAGATAGAGCCAAAAAGATCGGCGCCAGTTGGAAATATCTCATTCGAGCGAGTGTTAAACGAGAGCTGTCGCAGTTTGGCACTTCGAAAAGTGACATGATGGAAGAAAGCGATTCGATGGACAGGCTAGAGAGAAGGGAGTCGTGTGGCAGTCGATGAAAAATACTTATATGCAACAGTGGACAGAATTGGGTCGCGATCGCTTTGCCTCGCCTCGGCATAACATCTCGATCTATATATCGGTTTTCCTTGGCTTTCTAAATAAATCGCGATGGACACGAAATCATTCTTTCGTTTTGAAGCCTCTTGAAGTGGCGACCGTTGGTGCGAAAAACACGCGATTTATATCGATTTCCAGTTGGCGTCTCTGGCAGGAGAGAGTCCTGGGTCTATATTCTTCAATTTATATCGCATACGAAAATCTAGGTAATATATGTAATGTATATACTGCTAAATTTCCAATGTCCCTAATTATACCCCAATTTGAGTTATTTTTAATCACTGTATCATTTCAGTCATTGATTTAATTAAAACAATAAAGTTAAATAATTAAAAAAGTGTATTTATTATTATTACTTACTAAGTTTAATAAGTTCATTAGGTTTATTAACTTTATCATTTATTAAGTGTATACGTTAATATGTTGTTTATATTGAACAAAAATAAATTTACATTTTGACACACATAGAAGACGGATTGTATTTTATTTATTTTTTCTAAATTTAACTCTGAAATATTGATAAATTTTCACTCATACACTTTTTTTTAACAAAATGTTATTTAATCTAATGAATGAAATTATTTGTTTCTACATACATTGTTCCTTTGATATCTAACAATGTACTGTAATATTTTCGTATGCGATATTTTTAATGTCCACGAGGCCTTTGTCCGCTTCACATGATTGCATCAACTTTAATCTTCCGCCGGCCAAGTTGGACTTTGAAAGTATAGTGTATATTGTGAATAAGTTTTAATAGATAAATTTGATCCTATACTGCTACTCATATTTTTCTTACATTAACTCTGAAAATAAATAAGAATTTTTTAATATTTTTTAAATGCACTTTATTAGGTAGCAAAAGATGTTAGAATAACTGAATTAATATTATATTTTTAATATAAAAAATAACTTCTAACATTAAATAATCTTATTAAATGTTTAATTTTAACCAGGGTAGTAATTAGTTAAAAGTTAAAAAGTTAATAATTTTTAACTTAACTTAATTAATTTTAAATACATTAAATTTTAACTTAACTAAATTATTTTTAAACGTTAACTTTTTTTTAAGTTAAAAAATTTTTTTATCTCTTTTAAATATCTTAGAAAAATAATAAGATATAATAAGACTAAGGACGTATATTCATAATTTGTTCATATTTTAATACCATCTTAAGTAATTTCTTAAGATGCTAATGCAGCCTTCTGATTATTTATGCGGTTATGCCATAAGTCTTAGTCCAGATCTACAATGGCATTTTAAGTCTTGAGTCATAAGAAATTGACCAATTAGTCAAATATTCTTCTCGCATTCGATTGTAATTGGTCAATTTTTTATGGCTTGAGACTTATTCAAAAATCACTGATCTTGTATCTTCTCTATGTGCTGGCTGTTTTTTAAATGTTATATAACTTATATAGTTATATAGTTATATGTTACATCACATATAAATAAAAAAATTAAAAATTTAATTTACTTAATAATCTATATTATAGTTATTTAATCTCATTTTAAGAAAAATTAGTATATTTTGATCTAAAAAATAATTTTTTTTCAAAATTAACTTTTTTTTAAATTTAAGTTAATTCAGTATTGACTTAACTTACATTAAGTTAATTTTTCATTCCTTTAACTTTTAACTTTATTAATTTTGTAAAGCCATTAATTTTAATTTTATTCAGTTAAAAAAAAACATTAATTTATTCAATCCTGATTTTAACCAAACATTAAATTTTAAGTTATTAAAAATTTAATACCAAAAGTTATTAAACTCAAAAAGTGGATGGTGAAAATCCACTTACAGCAGCATTCCAGAGTTAAATCTATAAAAAAAAAATAAGTAAAATAGAATCCGATTTCTATAATACTAAAAACTGTTACAGTAAAAGTTAGAGCTTTTATAAGAATTTTTTCAGATTTTTATATAGTACATAGTTCGTAACAATATAAAGTCCATATTGAAGGTTAAAAACTCAAGTTGCTAACAAGATTCTATACGGCTACTAATAGAAGAAGACTAAAATGACATAACTCATAGAAAATATCAAGACAATGATGATGAAAAAAAAAAAAAGAAAAAAGAAAGAAAAAAAAGAAGAATGGAAAATAATAAAAGTGATGATAGAAGTTAGTACAGGAGTAAAAATAATTAGGTTTATTTAAATTTATTATTACATTAAAAATTATTGTTGACAAGAAGTAAAAATTAAAACTAATTTTTTACTAATGTACAATGTATGGGAAGTTTCGACTTGGCTTATAATTAATCATCTTCAGTCACAAAATTACGAGAACTAAGAGATTAAAAACATAATAAAATATGAAAGAATCATAATCAGTAAAACGTTAGAAAGATTCACAAAACGATAATATTTGAAGGGAAAGTTATTATTAGACCAGCATGTAAAATAATACTGCACTTTTTACTGTATTTCTCTAAAAAGATCTAAGTAAATATCAACTTAGAGTAAATAAACATTTAGTCAATAAAAAATGATAATTAAATCAGATTAATTGTTTTGTATAAAAAAATACCTACATATTAGGTATATGGATATACGGGAAAAAGTTCGTGGCGTTTTTCTCGTTAGATGGCATTAAAAAAACACGAACTTTTTCCCTCACCTAATATTTACATTTAATAAATATTTATATAGAACTATTCGCAAACAAATATTTATTAAAATTTAGTATTTTTTTTCAAAGTAGTCATGTCAAGAAAAGAACATTTCGCTGAACTTTGCGTTTTGTATTTCTGACAAAGTCCACCGCGACCCGGTTCGCACGCACGCCGCTATCGCGAGGCCGCTGATGCAACCGCTACCGCGGAGCGGAAATCGACCGAAATAAACACGCGTGCGTGTAAACGCGCGTGATAAAAGGCCGCGCTCGAGCAACGAGCGGAAGCACAGAAGTTCTGAGCGCTATCATTTTTTTTTTTTTTTCTAAGGAAGGCAGACAACAAAATGGGCTAACTATTACGGAAAATGGGGCAATGTTATAAAATCGATTCTTATCTCTAATATTATCCTTTGTGCGGTCAGATTGAAACGGAACTTTCTCATCCCATTTTGGTCTGCGTATCTGTACATTGTTTAATTTTAACGCTGTAAGATATAATTAAGCCAAACATAATAATCTATTGTATACATCACGTTTAATTTAACATAAATAAAAGCTAACTATAAATAACTTATTTTTTTGTCTATTTCAAACCTATACCACTTCTGTTCCTTTTACGCTAAGATTTTTTTATTCTTATAAAAAGAAAATTAACGCAGTGACGTGGCTAAAAATATCTCATTATCGACCAGTTAGCCATCAGAGCGATTTGACTAACTTCAACTCGGTCGGTATTCCTAATCAATTTTTATATTTAAAATCGTCTTAAGTACAATCTTAAGATGTCACAAATGTCAATCACGGAGCAATATTAACATTTTAAAATATTACTTAATGATGATTTTGAAATAAGAATGGACTATGAATAGCCTTCAATTCATCATTTTCGGTGTGTCTGAAATTTCACCGAGCGCGGGATTGCAGCTATTATGATATACAATGATAGCTTCCGGTATCGGCCGACATGATACTATGAATGATTATAACGCGATAGTATATGTAAGCGCGCATGCAACAAGACAATAACGCGAGTCATGATACAAATCCACGGCCTCGGCTTGACGGTGCCGCGATAATGCGATCGTGATTGTGCTTGGACTTGTGGCACGTAAAAAAAAAAAAACCGATAAGAAAACACCGACCTAGAAGATTAAACCGCACAACTCCCGGTAACGTCGCCGGATATCGCAAACCCCATTTCCATTGGCGACCGTCGCTCGTTGGACCGATCGAAGAAACGAGACCTTGCCGTATATAAATAAGGCAATGTTA